ACCCTTTTACTCTACGAGTAACGGGTATAATTACCTCTCTTGATTGCGAAGCATGGGTCTACTAAAACGGTGGAACGTTTCTTGCTAGGTATATCCGATAGTTCCTATGGTTTTGATTTGCGTACACATATTTAAGGATGTGAAAGTTTCAGATCGCTAGCTGAGCAAACGGTATTAAATCAGACGGACTTCGATTTGCCTCAGTTTGTTTTCTTTCTTCTTTGTTCTTAATAAAAGAAATAGTTTGAAGTGAATTTTTTTTAAAATAGGGCTTCTTTTTCTTGTGATCAGATTCAAAATGTTAATAGTAATAGTAATGGGACATTACCACGAAAGCAATAATAGCCAAATTAAAAAAAAGACTACAACACATTCGCAATAACTTCAAAATATCTAACTTGGCAAGACTGAGCGTAAGTTTTTAAAATTAAGAACAAATAAGTCAAACAAAAAATGTGTTGTCATTTTAAAGATGAATATACATTTGCATTGCCAATAGTTCCCTTCCTCATTAGCCGAAACAAAGGCAACTAATTGAGTTATTACCAAAAGAGTTATTTAATGCTTTACTTAGACTTATTGAAATGTTAAATTCAATACTTGTACAGTAATGATCTCTCAAACTCTTCGCTGTCTTTAAGATTATTTCGCAACTTAAATGAAAACAAGAAAGGAAGCAAACTTCGGCAAGTCGAAGTTTATATACCCTTGCAGTTATAACAAAACATTTTGATTTCTATGCCTATATTTCTAAAAACAATAAAGCTATGTCGATTTTGCGCTGCATTTTGCCATCGTTTCTATGGCAGCTATATGATATTGTTGCCCGATTTTTAATTAATTAATACCGTAATTCTATAATATTTAAATATTACCAAATTTCAAAGAACCAAAAAAAAATGAAACACAACTATTATACTTTTTTTGAATTTGTTTTCCGATTGTTCCTATGGGAGCTATATAATATAGTCTCCCGATCCGTCTCGTTCCGACTTATATAATACCTGCAATAGAAAGACAACTTTTGGGAAAGTTTAGCGTAGAAACGGACGGACGGATGGATGGATAGACAGACAGACAGACCATAGCATAGAGTAAGAATCTATATAGAGGTTCCGAGATCATAGAGTAAGAAACTATATAGAGGTTTCATTTGCTCTGCCCGCGCTCTCGAGGGACTTTGCCAGTGATGCCACGTAGGGGAAAAACGGGAAAAAATAGAGTTTTTCATTTGTTCGATCAAACTGGAATCGAGTCCCGCGGTGAGTTTCCGCAGCTGCGCTGGTCGCTCTTATTCCTAAGGATTGGTGCGAGAATTCCCCATACTATTGCTTGTGCTTCGCACATGTTAGAAGTGGTGAGAAACCGAAGTTAGCTTCGAACATGGCTCTCAGCAGAGCTTTGGCAGAGGCCCGGGCTGAGCAAATGAAACCTCTATATAGTTTCTTACTCTATGCCGAGATACTGACGGACGGACATTGCTAGCATAGAGTAAGAATCTACATAGAGATTTTATTTGCTCTGCCCGCTCCTCTGCCAAAGCTCTGCTGAGAGCCTTGTTCGAAGCTAACTTCGATTTCTCACCACTCCTAACATGTGCGAAGCACAAGCAATAGTATGGGGAGTTCTCGCACCAATCTTTAGGAATGAGAGCGACCAGTGCAGCGCTAAATATTCACCACGGGACTTAATTCCAGTTCGAACGAACAAATGGAAAACCCTCTTTTTTTCCGTTTTTCCACTACGTGCATTTTTTATTTGTTCGATCGAACTTCATTAGAGTCCCATTATTACATTACTACTCTATGACTAAAGTAAACTATCGCTCTTAAACCAAATGTCATAAGCATCTAAGAATTTTTAGTTAATATGTTTTAATTACCATCTAGTTAATTGAACCAAAAAATCACACATTGTTTTAATTTTTTCTTTCAAAAAACTCGCAAAAGTCGATTGCAGGAGTTTACATGTGAGGACATAATAACATTAATACTATCTGGGGTGCCTCTTGTCAGAGCAAAATGTTTTTTAGGTCCAGAATGTACGAAAAAACACAATAAAAGTGCAGATATGAACTTTAAATTAGCAAATAATTATCAGTAAATAAAAAAAAACAACTGTTAAATTTAAATTGTATTGTTTTTTAATTTCTTTGTACAGCGGCAGACTTTTCTTGCCAAGGTATTTGATAATATCTTTTAAAGGCTCTTTCCCGCAGATTAGAGGTGCAGAAACATCGAGTGAAACATCGATAACATCGATGTTTTCAAAACATCGAAACCATCGATGGTTCATCGATGTTTTCACTAAGCCTAGTATCCAGATCGACGAAAACCGTACGCCAGTCATGAGGGAGAGCGAGAGGCAAACAGCTGGCGTTCACTTTTCGTCGGGCCTTTTTTTCACGTTGGTCCCCTGATCGACGAAAAAATACCAGAAAATTGCATAGCGTTGCCAGTCTGCGGAAATGAACTTTGGGTGAACCCTAGCGAAAAGATTAAAAAATTTAAGCCTAGTATCCAGATCGACAAACGATTACGCTAGCGTAAAAACTTTAATCTTTCCAGTGTGACCAAAAGTTTGAGAGTTCATCAGATTTAAGCGTGCTACGGTCGTACTGCCAATCAGCTGGGTTTGTTGACAAGCAGTTAAAATTCAAATATCGTTTTTGCGGGAAAGAGCCTTTAAAAGATATTATCAAATACCTTGGCAAGACAAGTCTGCCGCTGTACAAAGAAATTAAAAAACAATACAATTTAAATTTAACAGTAGTTTTTTTTAATTTACTGATAATTATTTGCTGATTTAAAGTTCATAGCTGCACTTTTATTGTGTTTTTTCGTACATTCTGGACCTAAAAAACATTTTGCTCTGACAAGAGGCACCCCAGATAGTATTAATGTTATTTTGTCCTCACATGTAAACTCCTGCAATCGACTTTTGTGAGTTTTTTGAGTTTTTCCCTCCATTTCTTATAATGTTCAGTGAAAAGCGCACGCCAAAAGATTAAATTTTTTAATCTTTTCCGCTAGGGAATTTTCTGGTATTTTTTTCGTCGATCAGGAGACCGACGTGAAAAAAAGGCCCGACGAAAAGTGAACGCCAGCTGTTTGCCTCTCGCTCTCTCTCATGACTGGCGTACGGTTTTCGTCGATCAGGATACTGGGCTTTAAGCTTTTGACGTGCGCTTCTCACTGAACATTATAAGAAATGGAGGGAAAAGCCTAGTATCCAGATTGACAAACGATTACGCTAGCGTAAAAACTTTAATCTTTCGAGTGTGACCAAATTTTGAGAGTTTATCAGATTTAAGCGTGCTACGGTCGTACTGTCAATCAGCTGGGTTTGTTGACAAGCAGTTAAAATTCAAATATCGTATTTGCGGGAAAGAGCCTTTAAAAGATATTATCAAATACCTTGGCAAGACAAGTCTGCCGCTGTACAAAGAAATTGAAAAACAATACAATTTAAATTTAACAGTTGTTTTTTTAATTTACTGATAATTATTTGCTAATTTAAAGTTCATAGCTGCACTTTTATTGTGTTTTTCATTCTGGACCTAAAAAACATTTTGCTCTGACAAGAGGCACCCCAGATAGTATTAATGTTATTTTGTCCTCAGATGTAAACACCTGCAATCGACTTTTGTGAGTTTTTTGAGTTTTTCCCTCCATTTCTTATAATGTTCAGTGAGAAGCGCACGTTAAAAGATTAAATTTTTTAATCTTTTCGCCAGGGTTCACCCAAAGTTCATTTCCGCAGACTGGCAACGCTATGGAATTTTCTGGTATTTTTTTCGTCGATCAGGGGACCGACGTGAAAAAAAGGCCCGACAAAAAGTGAACGCCAGCTGTTTGCCTGTCGCTCTTTCATGACTGGCGTACGGTTTTCGTCGATCTGGATACTAGGCTTAAAACTCAAAAAACTCGCAAAAGTCGATTGCAGGTGTTTACATGTGAGGACAAAATAACATTAATACTATCTGGGGTGCCTCTTGTCAGATCAAAATGTTTTTTAGGTCCAGAATGTACGAAAAAACACAATAAAAGTGCAGCTATGAACTTTAAATTAGCAAATAATTATCAGTAAATTAAAAAAATCAACTGTTAAATTGAAATTGTACTGTTTTTTAATTTCTTTGTACAGCGGCAGACTTGTCTTACCAATGTTTTTGATAATATCATTTAAAGGCTCTTTCCCGCAAATACGATATTTGAATTTTAACTGCTTGTCAACAAACCCAGCTGATTGACAGTACCGTAGCACGCTTAAATCTGATGAACTCTCAAACTTTTGGTCACACTGGAAAGATTAAAGTTCTTACGCTAGCGTAATCGTTTGTCGATCTGGATACTAGGCTTAAATTTTTATTTACTTATACTATTTATTCATTTTCTTAAGTATTTATTTATTTACCAAAAAATTTATCAATATATTTCATAAAACTATACATTTATTTATTTCGAACATTTATTTATTTCGAACATTTATTTATTTATTTATTATTCGTTATTACATGTTTATATATTTATCTGTTTATTTATTATTTGCTAGTCCTTATTTTAATATTTATTATTCTTCTTAGGTATTTTGTTGATTTGTTTCGGGAGTTACATATATTAGAATTTTGAGGGAAATATACATATAATAACAAATTCGTGATTTAACACTTTGAAAAAAATATAATTTTTATTTATCAAAATAGTGTAAACGCGAACTGGGAGAGATAGGTCTGCTCCTTACAAGATTCAACTTAAAACTCAAACTTATAAACTAAGCTGGCGCTTATCAAACCTTCGATTGGGAGAAAGAACTTTATTGATAAATTGAGAGTGTCCAAAATGAGAGCACTGAGCAAGAGAGCGATGTTTATATTAATTGGCGACTCTTGGGAGCCGATGATTTTGGGTGTGACAAATGCGTAATGTAAATATGTTTATGTGGTAGATATGTGGGTGTGTGTATGTTACTTTATGTGGTAGATATGTGGGTGTGGGTGTGGGTGTAGGTATGTTACTATATATTTCTTTTTGTTGTGCTGTACGATGCCTTCCAATTACGATCTTCGATCGAAGGTTCCTTTAGCCGGGGATGACGAGGCAACATGGTACTTGGAGGACGAGGGCGCTGCCGGAGGTGGTGTACCACGCATTTCAATGGGGTTGTCGAGGACTCCACAAGCCCATCTGCGAGAGACGCTGAGAACGGAGACCAGGATGGACCAGGAACCTCCCCGGAGATGGACTTCGAAGGGATTGGCTCGGCGGTGGACCAACTGCCGGAGATGAAAGACCGCGCACCAGTCGTGGACTCGGCTAGCTTGGCGAAACGCCGCCGGTACGCAGAGCCAGCACATCGAGGACCGCCGAGCTGTCGATTGCCGCCAGGAACCGCATATATATGCCAACGTGGGGCAGGACTTTGGCAGCCAGAAGGTCCGGATAGTTCGATGGGGAGTGTTCTTCGACGGCGAGGACGACCGCAACTCGGTGGAGGACTTCGTCTTCCGGAGTTCCTGCAGAGGCAGTACCAATGCTCGTGGGCAGAGGTGCTCAGGCACCTGGGAACTGGGTCCAAGTCCGGCATAGCAGGGTGGATCGGTGGTCCCAGTTGCGTGCCTCACTGATGGACCGGTTCCGAGGTCGCCAAACCGGGCATGAGAAGATGCACGAACTCCTGCAGCGGGAGCAGCAGCTGGCCTCTCGCCTGAAAAAACCACTGTATGAGCGATAGTTGGTAAAAATTGTTAAAAGGGGCTTGAGAGAAGGAATCGCCAGGTTCGTCTATGCCATGGACCTACTTACGGTGGACGAGCTGCGGGGCGAGTGCATCGAAGTCGAACGCAACTTCGGACGACAGGGACTCGCCACGTACGGGCAGCAACCGCGCTTTGGTTCCGGCGAAAAAACCAGAGTGAACGAGGCCGTCCTTTCGCAAGCGGAGGAGGATACGGATGGGCTGGAGGTGGATGACCTGCGGGCCAAGACCAGGAATCCGTTCCGAGCGGGCTGCTGGAATTGCGGAGCCGGCAACAGAACGGCGCCTGTTCTGCTACCGATGTGGAAGGCCAGGTACCGTGTCTCCGAAATGTCCGGATTGCGCGGAAAACGGTCGGCTGGGCGATCCGAGGGCGGGAAGGATACGTCCTGACAAGAGCCCCGCGAAGGAGTAAATGTTCTAGGAATAAAAAAGGCTTAGTGTGTACGAGTAGAAATAAGCACAGTTTAAAATACTTACCTTATGAGGAGAGGATGCGTCGGTAATTGGAGACCACGAACAGAATTTTCTCCGAGCACCAGTTAGCCGACATGCGAACGGTGTCTAGGAAAGTTCAGAAGGCCAGAGATCGGTTCCGAAAACGTCAGGCCAGACGACGGGAAGTAGTTGCCGCTGTGAAGCGCTGTTCGACGCAAGATCCCAGGCCATACGCCGAAGTCCGAGTCCTGACCAAGCAGCTGACTGGTTTGTTGGACACGGGAGCGAGCCTGCCAGCCTGCTGGGCAAAGGTTACAGGGAGCTGGTCGAGGCGTTGGACGTGCCTGTCCAGAAATACCTGTCCGTAGTCCGCACGGCGTCTAGAGAGGATTATAGGACGCGTCGAAATACCTGTGGAGTACGGAGGACAGATAAAGCGGATCCTGTTCTATGTATGCCCTTACCTGGAGCAGGAGTCCTATTTTGGAGTTGACTTCTGGCAAGCGTTTGGCTTGGCTCCGGCGGTGATAGGCGACAGCGACGTGGAAAGCGTGAAAAAGGCAGCACAAATTAAAGGAGCGCAACAAAAAACAAAGGCAGTACTTGGTAAGCGTGGACCCCGCGCAGGGCACCGTTTGGAACTGCATACGGATTTCGCCAGGCACCGATCCCCAATGCTCCCAATGATTTCGTCGAGTAGCCATGGTTCGGAGGCGTCTCTCTAAATCCTTAGGTGGTATTGCATTTCATGTTGGAATCGGCTGGAGGAACTAAGAAGTAGGTATTCGCCCAAGTTAGTGCTTAGCCACATGAGAGTCATGATTGATTTCACGACAACCTTTCGTCGAGATGGCTTGAAATTGGAAGACATCTTTTTTGGGAACTGTACCAGCATCTGACATTGTACTAGCGTAATGAACTAAGAAAATAAAGAAAAAGAAAGTTTACCGCAGCAGCCGGCCTGCCAACCGAAGGCAAGACCGGCAAATGTTTTGTTAAGAAAGTCAAAAGAAAAATCGTAAAGACACAGGAAAACAGAATTTTGTATAAAACTTTTTTTTTTTTTTTTTTTAAATACGGGAGCTCTGAAATAAACACAACGGGTTAGCCTGACACAAAAGTCGAGACTTCGATGAAAAAACTTGTTATCAAAGTAGTGTTGGTAATAGTATTTTTTAATCTTAAACGTGCAGGTTGTAAGCACTGCTATTTCGGCGAACACAGCTGTATATACACGGCATTTCCGCACACGCCCTGTGAAGGACTTTTTTTCTAATTCAGTTTTTTAGTCCTTTTTTTGTATGGGCTGATTCAGGCTTTTGCCCACTGTTAAGCGATTTTCTAAAAAAATGTGGATACGATTTGTATACAATGTTGAGTTTAAGTCCTTGTAGAAACGTCTTTAAAGCTGATGTAGCGCTCTTTGAGTTGAGAAATTCTTCAAAGTGTTGGGAGTCGTTTTTTCAAATGAAATCTTAAGGGGAGAAACCAGTTTAGGAGGCCGAAATTCGAGTGTAATTTTTTTTAATGAGAAAAAAATAATTCAAATTTGTTTAAACTTGGAGGGTATTTTGCTTATATTTTGAACTACACTTTTTTAGAGGGTGGTGTCCATTGACGATCGCCATCAGAGTTGACCCTTGCTGGACACCTGGAGGTCGCAGTTTTGATCTGAATTTTTTTTCCCTTGTTAGTAACATATTTTATAAGAATATGAACCAAACTCTGACCGAAATAGTGGAAAATTGTCATGTTTTTATATAATTTTTCTTACCTTTCTTACATAACAAATATATAAAAATAAATATACTTAATAATATCATTCCAGAGTTTGGTTAATATTTTTGACTTGAATAAGGAATATGCACATTAATTTTTAGTTCGATTCGTCATTAACTTTTCGAGTTAGGATTCCCGCAAGTGGAAAGAACGTCGTATCTAGAAAAACGCATTTCAAAAATGCAACCGCTTGGGTCAAACGACCGCGCGCTTCGGCACTGAATCGACTGATGTTTATTTGAGTGCTCATATCATCGGAACTAATTGGAATTTCGTTTTGAAACTTAAGAAAAATTCTTGAATAGTTGTACTTACAATTTATTCATTAAACAAGAAAGGAAAGCTAACTTCGGGCGGAGCCGAAGTTGATATACCCTTGCAGAATATTCTGTAAATTATATTCTCCAAAATGATTTATATGATGCATTCTTAATACTCATAAAAAATCCCAACTTCCTAACTTTACAAACACCAAAGTTATGGCATTTCCGATCAATCAGTTATATGGCGGCTATAAGATATAGTCGGCCGATCCTTATGACATTTGGTAGGTCGGATTGATTGGCCAAAAATAAAACCCATATAAAATCCCAACTTCCTAACTTTAAAAATACTAACGTTATGGCATTTCCGATCAATCAGTTATATGTCGGCTATAGTCGGCCGATCCCGGCCGTTCCGACATACATACTGCGTGCAAAGGAAAGAAGTTATGGCATTTCCAATGGTTCAGCTCAAAAGTTAATCAAGATGTGTTATTACAGAAGACGACCGTGTCTGTCACGGCCGAGAATCCATAAGTCTGCCGGGTGTCGTCTGCGGGGACGCCGTCGACCCAGTGGTATTGCAAGATGTCTTGCCAGACAGTTTGCATGTGTGAGCAAACATTCCCGATATCGACTTGAGGATTTGCAAATCGTCTCCGTTATTGTCGGCACTCCCGTGTCCTGGAACATAACTCGGTTTTCTACATAATGGTGCCATTTCACCCCTAGTATCCTCCTGAGAGCCTTTGTAATGCATGTTTGCACCCTTTTTAGTGACGAATCACAGGCCGTGCCCCAGCAAGTGATTCCCCAGTTTAAAGTTGGAAGGACAATGGCCTTAAAAAGCCGCACCTTAGCTTCAAGGGATAGGCCGCTGCCTGGACGAAGGAGCCAGTCCATTTTGTCAAGTTTTGTTCTTGCTGATCCACAAACTCGATCAATTTGTCCCTTCCAACAAAGGCGACGGTCTAAGGTAACTCCGAGGTACGTCACCTTATCTTCGTGCTTGAGCCTATTCCCATCAATGTAAAGGCTACGCGAACGGCCAGGGCGGAGAGCAAAAGTGGCATGTTGCGTTTTGTCAACATTAAGCGCAATGTTCCATCGAGAGGCCCAGCACTCAAATTCGTCTAAGAATGTCTGGACGCGTCGGGACGCAGACGTAGTGGTGCTACCAGCAGCAAGAAATGCAGTGTCATCTGCATATGTGGCCAGGAGTGTACCACGAGCAACTGGGTTTGGAAGATCCGAAGTGTAAATTGTATAGAGGACCGGACCAAGGACGCTTCCCTGCGGGACACCAGCACGAATTAGGCGAAGTCCAGAACGGTGTCCACGAATGTCTACAGCAAACTCCCTATTATCTAAGAACGATACGAGATTCCAGAGCCTTTCAGGCAAAAGCGGCATTAGCTTGTAGAACAGTCCTTCGTGCCAAACCCTGTCAAAGGCCTGTCGAACATCGAGAAAAACGGCTGAGCAGTATTTGTGGTCTTCGAAAGCCCCCAGGACATGGTTAATTACTCTGTGCACTTGCTCGATAGCACTATGGCTACTACGGAAACCAAACTGATGGTTCGGAAGTGCGTCTTCAAAGGCGTTAATAGCTAGAAGTCTACCAAGCATGATCCGCTCCAAAATTTTGGAGAAAGTGGACAGCAAACTAATCGGCCTATAAGATTCCGGGCAACATGGGTCTTTTCCTTTTTTTGCCACCATTGTGACTAATGCTCGTTTTTAAGGTGATGGAAAATAACCAAGGTCCAGGCAAGCATTAAAGAGGAGACAGAGCTGTGCAATGACAGAGCTAGGCAGAGCCTTTGCTACTTTGCCATCAATCGCGTCCAAGCCAGGAGCTTTAGTAGTAACCAGTCGCTTTATATGACCACGTACCTCATCTTCGTCTACTGGACGGACAGTACTAACCTAGAGATTGTTGTCTGCACTTCTTCGCTTGTTGCAAATTCAAATGGAGTAAAGCGATTTTCAAGATCATCAGCAAATACTTCAGCAATCTCGGAATCACTGTGGGCCATATCGATGGTATGCCTCGTCCTCATCCAGACACGGCGAAGTGCATGACCCTTTCTGGCCAAGGCAGCAATTTCTGGCTTTGAATAAGCCCAAGATGGAGGAGGAATAGGTATACTTCTAGGAGGAGGGGCAGCTTGATGGATCTGTTCAACTAAGACCTCAGCAAAGGAATCTACGTCGTCCACAGAAAGAAGAGAAGGTTGCTCCTGAGTCAGAGCAGTAAGTTGCGCACTGAATCTTTTAAGATCCGTGCCCCGGGGAAGAAGCCTGGATTTGGTAACGATCGTATAGGCAGCCACGCAAAAATATATCAGGAGCGGAATATGATCAGAGGAAAGTCCCGGGCACTCTGAGATTGTAAGGTGGTTGCACGGGATGCCTTTATACACAGCAAAATCAATGGCCGTCGGGAGGTGGTCATTGATCCAAGGAAAATGAGTGGGTCCGCCAGTAGCCAAAATCTGCATATTTGAGTCAGCAATAACTGACATCTGGGTGTTTCCCCGAGGGCATGATCGCCTGCACCCCCAGAAACTGTGGTGCGCATTCCAATCCCCTCCAATGAGAAAGCGGCTACCTACAGAGCCAAAAAGACGCAGATATTCCTCAGTCGTCCAAGAAAGGCGGTGACCAGGTGGACAGTAGACAGCACCAAATGAAATTCTGCCAAACCCAGTGACCAAACTTATGGCAACTGCTTGCAGGTGATGCTCCGATATTGTGGCACTTATGTGATAATCTAAACAGGATTTGATGATGACAGCAGCACCACCACGATGTCGATCATCAGGGTGGTTGGCAGAGTGAACAGCATATCCATTAATGTGGAAGAATGTACGGCTGGTAAATGTGTCTCTGAGATCAATAAAATGTTAATGTTGCGTTCCTGGAGGAGGTGCTCAATCTCGAGTGATTTGCCAACTAAGTTGTTGGCGTTCCAAATAACGATATTTATACCGTAATTAGTCATCGCATTGCGTTGACCCTGATAGATTGGCGTGCTTAGAAATCACGCTCTGTAACATTTGTAGTGTGGTCGTCATTACTGACATCATTTGATCAAAGCGTAACAACTTATCAATTGCAGCCGCTTGGGCTATCGCAGCAGCCTGTTGTTGCTTCCTTAATCCATTAATAAATTCCAGAAGCCTGTTCTGAGTAGGTTGTTCAACAAGGAGGTCTTTTCAGTTGGATGTGAATTAGCCGTTGGCGAAGTCTGACTTGAAGATGCAGAGAGACGCGTAGAAAACCAAGCATTTTGAGCCGGGGGCATGGCAGGCTTAAAAGTACGTTTTTGAGTAGGTCTACGCTCTACAGAACCAGTGGGCTTACGTCTTTCAATAGCCTCTAAATAGACAGGACATCGACGGGAAGACGCACTATGATTAGAACCATAGTTAATGCACTTGAGTTGTTCCTCATTTATGGCCAAGCACCTATCCTTGTCTTTTGTTTTGTCGTCACCAGCACATCTGGCACACTTTGGCAAGAGTGAGCAAAAATCTTTAGAATGTCCAAATTCTTGACATCTGAAACACCTTAAAGGACCCTTTTCTCTGAAGCTGCGGTTCCACTGTAACCACCTGGTAGTCAATTATCTGGATATCATATACATTTTTGTTATT